TAATCTAGTATATTGGGACTATTCAAATCCAGTAACTTTATAATCACAAGTACCACAATTTGATTTATTTTTATAAAGAAATATTTTTTTATTATAGCACTTTAAAAATTTGTATTGCATAATATTGCTGCAAACTTTTTGGTTTAAAAAACCAACTATCCAATTTTTCACAGTAACTCGCAGAAACTACCGACCTTCATATAATTACCATATTGTGAAAACTTAAATAATACACAAAAAAATAATGTATTTTAATTTTTACAGAATGCATTCTGTAGAACCACTTGAACTGTCTTTTTTTCATTTAAAAAAATTTTAACTGGAAAAATCAATTCATGGAGTAAATAACAAATAATTTAAGAATTCATTTTATTTAATAATAATTCATTTAATTTAATAATATTTCATTTAAAATTATTTTTTTTTATATTTAACTATAAATTCTTTTTTATTTTTTATTTACATTAACTTAACTAATTTTTTTCATTTATGTAACTATTTTAGAATTTCTTACGCACTCACACAAAATAAAATTTAAACATTTACACAAAATTATATTAATTTTTTTCGATTTAGCCTTGGGGCCAAAATGGCTGTCCTGGATAAGGACTACGTCCAACGAATGCATAAGGATTTGGATTAATAACTCGTGCTATATCGCTGTATGTTCTGCCAGTACGTCTTCCACCGCCATAGGAACGACGCGAGCCACCATAACCGCCACCATAGCCATAAGCTCCAAAACCACCTGCATAACGATGACCATAATTATGATAACCTTTCAAAGATTTTATGAACGGTAATAGTAAACCTGTTGATAATTCCATACACAACGCGAATACAATGAACAGCAAACCTATTGAAATTCTCATATTGATTTTGTTGAACAATTTTAAATCCGCGCTTAAATCCGCTGTTCTTACAAGGAAGATTGTAAGTTCTCGACTGCATGAATTGTTATGTACTCACTGCATATTTATATAGCGAATATTTGCTTAACATTCAGCTGGATTCTTGTACTTCTCTTCTTCTTCTTGTACTGTTATATGTACATCCAAATGTTATTCCAACTGTGTGCTCAGATAACGTTGTGGTTAAGAACACTCATTTCTGTTTCTGCGATATATTAATTTCCTTTTCTCCTGAAATCTTTCTAAACAAATGCCATTAGCATATCTGCAACGATCGGTAATTGCTGGTTTATGCGATTTTAATGTTATTTACTTTTTCTTCTTTCTGCAAAAGAATTGGTCAACGACTTTACTTTACGAGCATGACTAACCATTAAGTCTTCATTCCTCTCTCTTCGCATGCTTTTGCACATTATTTTTGTATCTTTTCTGTTTTGCTATTCTTTCAAATTAATATTAATAACTCGATCAGTTAGATCGAAACAGTTACTACACAACGTAACGACTCAAAGAGTATTCCGATCACGTGCGCATGCGCATCTAACCGCGTACATCTTAATGAAATTGAAAAAAAATACAGATTTTACATTTGCTTGGAAGATACCAAATGGTATCTTTTTATTTTGTAGAAACCTGTTGATTTTTTTTGAGTTTACCCAAGAACTGGAAAAAATATACAAACAGAAAATGAAATTGACAAGTTGTTGACATTGACCATGGATGGCTAAGTGAACTTCAATACAAGGAATCTGTAAATCTGTAAATGATTGTTTACTCGTATTAAAAAAATTATCATCGTAAGTTCACAAAAGTACATTGGCATGGACCAAACTTAACCTTAACTGGATTTTATTACTTCATTACTTCGTTACTTCATCCTCATGTAATCGTTAATATTATTATTGGTTATTTTAGTAAAAATTTAAAAATCTACGAGTAATTATAATATATACCAAAAAGGGTATCCCCCATATAAATGAAACAAAAAACTACATAATAATTTTTTTTAATAATTCTTAAAAAAAAATTATACAAACAATTCTTAAACATAAATAAATGCAGTTTACAACGAACATAACACTGAGCTACTTTTGTGAAAATGATTAACTAAAATTATAGTACAATAAGTAAATTTTAAAAAATTAAATTTTCTTGAAATAGTTATAAAGCTGCGTGCGAGTTCGAATAAATTGATGGTAAATTGAGGGAAATAGTAAATTATGTCGGTATGGCAGCAAATGTTGGTATGTACCCGAATTTCGAGCAAGGTAAATTAGGTATTACCATTGTGAAAATTTTATAAGATGTTTAATAAATAAATAAATAAATTTGAAAACTTCAAACCAAAAATAATAAATTTATAAGTGCTTTCCAATAATAGCTCTCTAAATTAAACTACTTACTGTTTGTGTGACTACTTTTAGAATTTTCTGTATAGTTTGTATTTAGTTTAGTAATGAATATAAAACCACAAACGACCCCTCTCCAGTCATACCATTTTTTTTTCTTGAATCTAAGAATAATCTAAGTATATGCCATTAAGCTATGCGACATTTTTTATAATACATTGTGCCAATATTATCATGTTATCAATAATAAGAATTTTGATCAATAAATAAATAAATAATAAATGAAATCGAATAATATCATTGATAATTAGAACCATCGGGGTCTTATACTCCACAAGGAGATAAAGGAGTTGAGAAGAAAAATGGAATGATTAAAACATAGGTGAACATCCATATTCTAATAGATATATGTTATATATTATATTATATATATACATAATATATTAGATTAATCCTCTTGATTAACCTAAGCTTTTCAAAACACTCATATAAAGTAATATTCTGTAGAGGCCTAACAACTGCCTTAAAAAGTAAAAAATGAGGCGCTTTCTGTGCTTTTTCAATAACAATCCATGGAAGACCTAAGCGTACCTGTTTATATCCTGCTCATGTTACTTCAAGACGCTTTTGCAATAAAGTGTTTTTTTTTACCCACTCTCATTAGAACCATTAGACCAAAAGGTATCACTCGTAACGTTTCTCTCCCTCTCTAATTAAAGCATTATTAAGTAAGCATAACGTATCTTGTGATCTTAAGATATGTAGACTCACTCATGTCAATTGTTTGTGACTAAAGATATGGGTGGCATTTCTGTTTTTGGACATATCTATAATAAAATTGGTTTTAAAATATAATATTAAATATTTACTACTGTTGTAGGGTAGTTTTAAGATTGTAACAACTGATTAAATTTTTTTTTTCACTTTAATAAAATGAAAAAAAATGAATTAATAATAATTTCAGGTTAAAAATAATTTTTGATTTTTCTTTGCTATAGGAATTGTTATCATTTTTGTTTTCTTAATGTTGAATTGAAAATGAGTAAAATCAGTTGAGATGTAGACTGACGACGTCAAAGATAGTTAGTTGAACAATCAGTGTCACAGATTAAAAGCGGAAAGTAGTTTTATGTGTAAATGAACGGGAATAATAAAGTATCGAAAAGATGAACACATTTTGTTTTATAGTATTGATTTTATTGGGAATATTTCATATGCAATTAAGTGAAGCACAATTCAGTGAAACAAATGCTGAAGTATCTGTTGGCGGATTAACTTTAGGGGCCAGTGTAGCCTTACCAAACTTACCGACAATACCGCGTTTAAACTGGAATAAATTACCTGGATTTAATTTAGTGCATAATAAAATTGCCACTTTAAATCCATTGAATATATTGACAGGAAATCATCAAGATAGACAACAATCTAATCTAAATCAACAAACATGGTGGGCAAATTCAGGAAATCAATTTAATCAGTATGGTCCACCACCAAATAGAGGTCCAGTGAATAACGCTCATTATCCACCGGCAAACTCACATCAGCCATTTATGGTTCCACCAAATAATAATTTTGAATTTAATCCGCCACATAATCGTTATGATAGACCTCCACTAGAAGATAGCCCACCAGAATTTATGCCACCGCCATTTGAAAATGGATTTAATGGTGGAGGTCACAACAGGCCTCCACCCCGCGATAGCCCACCAGATTTTATGCCACCACCATTTGAACATGGATCTCATGGTGTAGGTCATGATAGACATCCACCACACCATAGCCCACCAGATTTTATGCCACCTCCATTTGAACATGGCCACCATGGTCAACGTGGCCCAAATCAACACCAAGGTCATCATGAACCACATGGTTCTTTCAATCGTCATGGACATATGCCACATTATAATCAATTTAACCGAAATCATCCTAACAATAATCCTGACGAGTTTAATATACCAAATGGATATTATAATAAGCCTGACGAACAGCCATTTAATCCAAACGATGAATTTGAATATATTGGAACTACAACAGAATCGACTTTAAAACCAACAAACAAAATTGATAAAAATAATCCCAGTTCATCTAATTTAATACATAGAAACCACAATAGTAGCTTTACTTTATGTCTTAAATTTATATATCCTGATTCGGATTTATATATCAGAGATAAAGAAGAACTGTCGCAGAATTACTCAATTGGTATTGACCCACGTTGATACAAGCAAGGACTACTTTCACACAACCTTACCATTAAAACGAAACAATCGTGCTTTGAATGAAGTGAATTTTTATACTCACGAAATATAATAATTTTTATTATAACTAAATATGTTTTTTTATATAAATAAATAATTATACATACAATTTTTTTAATTTAAAATTATTTGAAAATAAATATAATAAAAATTTCTTTAAAAAATTTTAACACAAAATCCCATCAGTTTTGTGACCTTGTGTATAATAAGTTGGCTGTTGTTGATATCCATAATTTCTATTACTTGGATATTCATTCAATGCCGGATCACTGTACTCATTTCTGTAATTATGTTGATTATATTGATTCCCATGATGGCCATATCCATATTGAGGTTTTGCATGTGGACTAGGTAAATATGCTGGAGGTGGTCGTGGCGGTTCTAAATATCTATTCGGATGTGGGTAATATGGCGGAGGTCCGTAACTACCTTGTTGTTGATACCCAGCTCCCTCTCTATCCTCACCATATTGATGTTCATATTGATAACCACCGTAACCGCCATGATAGCCATAACTACTTTGATGCGCTGCTGGATAAGCATTTCGGGTAGGGTAAACGCTTTCACCTACAGCATCTAGCACCAATTCAGCAATTTTATCGAAAGTAGGACGTGCACTTATAACTACAAACAATTCACAAGCAAATATAAGAAATATTATTTTCATTTTCACAATTTTTTAATTTTATTCATTAAATAATTATTATTTATTAATAAAGACTTGTTTAAGTGTTATTAATTCAATTGTAAATAAACAATTTGCGAAATTGGTAGCGCTTATAAATCGCATTTTGTGAGAATAATATTTGTGAAATGTGATTGATAAGAATTGACCTATTGTCTAAGTTTAGTGAATGGAGTCTCTTTAATAATACAGAAAAATATTTATACTTTTTCAAGGAAAAGTCCTTGATAACAACAAATTAAAATTCTTGTGAATTTCAGAAATAATTCTTTTTTTCTCTTTATATATATTTTTAGTAAAAAAAAGTATTTAAGAGAGTAAGTGAAAGAGAGTAAAATCTTTCTTATTAAGAACATAGCGAAAGAGTATATTTTTTTAATGCCATTATATTTAAAGACAAACTTAAGTGTTGCTTTTACACTATTGTCACATGTATTTGAATTTAAGTCACACTTTAGTGCCTAATATAGAACACTAAATTGTTACTAAACTTTATTGTGAAACTAACTTGTAAAGCATAATTACAGCTGAATCGACTAGTTTAGTTAATAAATGTTAAAGAATTCCAAAATATGACCGGAATAAATAATTATATAGTTTATGTGAATGACCATGACAATAGTTGGTGTCATGATTTAGGTGGAACATCTAGCTATCTGGTATTTTGTACTATTGATTGCTGCGTAAAAAATTTGAGCCGAATTTTTATTTTTAAACAACAATTATTCTTAACAA